GAGGCCGCCCGCGGGGCGAGGAGGGAGAGGCTCTGCTTCCTGGCCCGCCACCTCAACGCGCCGCAGAACCTGAAGCCTACGGATGAAAAGGGAAAGGGTGGTGAAGGCGGGCGCGAGTCCCTGAGGCATTGCCCTCAGAGCCCCCCTTGTTCATTTTTTCATTTGAAATACCATTTCCTTCCACCCAGTTGGAAATTATTCTGATTGTTTCCTGGGGAAGCGCGGGGTCTAAGGCCCCAAATCCAGAAGAGGAATTTCTGAAAGACGGGGTGGGGGTGGGGGGGGAAGGGATTCAAGAACTACTTTACTCCGAAAAACCTGCGTTTGTAAGGTAGAAGCCAATTTTTCCTTTTTCTGCATGGAAAAAGGAAAAAAAAAAAATGGCCCTTTTCCTGCATGATCTACTTTCACCCTCCTGAATGTGTAAAGTCTGAGCGGGAACTTCAGATATGTCGGTAACTCACACCTTTACACGAGTCCCGTCCCCCCCCCCCGCCCCCTTTTAACCACTGCTAATGTTTTTCTCTGCCCTTTTATACCTTTAAAAAATGTGTTTCAAATGAACTTATTACAGTCAAAGCAGCTCTGTTACATATGAGAGAGGGCATAAAGGGTAAAGACCCTGGCTCCAAAAGAAAGGGACAAGACCAAAACCAAAGCGGAAAGAAAAAAAAGATCACCTCTAAACCAAAGCCCAGAGGGAGAGTAGCAAAGGGTTAAAATCCTTTTGATTGACGTTGTAGCCTCCGGTGCCCTGGGCTCAGGCGCGCGCCATTGGCCGCCAGACCTTGTGCCTGGCGGCCAATGGGGGGGCGCGGTCCACGAGCGGTGCCGCGTGTCTCCTCCTCCCATTGGCTGAAAGTTACTGTGGGAAAGAAAGTTTGGGAAGTTTCACACGAGCCGTTCGCGTGCAGTCCCAGATATATATAGAGGCCGCCAGGGCCTGGGGATCACACAGGATCCGGAGCTGGTGCTGATAACAGTGGAATCCCCCGTCTACCTCTCTCCTTGGTCCTGGAACAGCGCTACTGATCACCAAGTAGCCACAAAATATAATAATAAACCCTCAGCACTTGCTCAGTAGTTTTGTGAAAGTCTCAAGTAAAAGAGACACAAAGAATTCTTTTTTGTGAAGAACTCCAAAAATAAAATTCTCTAGAGATTTAAAAAAAAAAAAAAAAAAAAGGAAAATGCCAGCTGATATAATGGAGAAAAATTCCTCGTCCCCGGTGGCTGCTACCCCAGCCAGTGTCAACACGACACCGGATAAACCAAAGACAGCATCTGAGCACAGAAAGGTAAGGGCGGTACCTGTATCTCTCTGCAGCCCCTCAAGATTAAGTAGGGGTTGGGGGGGGCTTCTTTCTGTGTTGAAACCCCGGGATGAAATGGCAGATCCCATGGGAACACAGAACTCTTCTTTTATTTATTTGCAGTCATCAAAGCCTATCATGGAGAAAAGACGAAGAGCAAGAATAAATGAAAGTCTGAGCCAGCTGAAAACACTGATTTTGGATGCTCTTAAGAAAGATGTAAGTGGGGAAATGTTGCTCTTTCTTTTACTGAGAAAGCAAACACTTTCTCAGCTACTAAGAGTGAAACCCCCCGCCTGCGGGGTCTAGCACTCGCCGGTACTGCGTTCTCCTAGGCGGGAGGGCCCGGCCTTATTCTCTGGGGTCCAGAGATATGCTTGCGCTCCGTGGCCGGGAGAAGGGACCCCCAGCACTCTGAAGCAACTGACACGGGGTTCACTTTCTTTTCTTGCCTCCTCCTATGCAGAGCTCGCGGCATTCCAAGCTGGAGAAGGCGGACATTCTGGAAATGACAGTGAAGCACCTCCGGAACCTGCAGCGGGCGCAGATGACGGGTGAGGGCGGCTCGCCGCGTCCCCCTGTGCGGGCGTCCCGCTCGCCTCGCGGTGATTTCTTCCAGACTTCCGCCCGTGGTTGTGAGAGGCATTCAGCTACATTTTACTGCCTTGGCTCACTCTCGCGTTCCCACGGTCTGGGGCTTATTTATAGCCACAACTCCAAGTTGTTACTGTTCCGGAAAGGGAGGGAAAGAGGTTGCAGCCGCGAGGGTGGCGGGCGGCGGGTAGGGGCGAAAGGACTTAGGACTGTGGCGGTTTGGAACTGCGTGGAGCCTGGGGGTCACTGGTTTAGCACTCCCTCCCGTTGCAGAAGGGGAAACGAGGCTTGGATGATGGATTGGGAGGCATTGTCCAAGGTCACATCGCGCGCGGGGGTGGGGGTGACAGATCTGTGGCTGAGATAGGTTTAAATGCAGCGACAGGGAATCGGGAAGGAGTGGCTCGGCTTTGGCAGCCACGCTAGTGTGTAGAGGTGGCTG